AATCATTTATTTTTTCACGATCGATTCCAGAATCTTCCTCGATCGACTGTTTGAGCATTGGACACTAATATTCCATGGATAGACTCTCGCCTTCATATTTTCTCTCGAAGAATCACTTTTATCATTCTTATTGTTATCGTATGAATTCGTATTGATGATGGAGTGATTTCAACAGGGAAGTTTTTTAAGGATAGAGGTGGATTTACTACTGAGGGTCTATCACTTATATCAAAATTAAACATTATATAGAACCGTTCTTCAATTCAATACGAGAGTTAGTGTTATAGAGTTTCCTTTGATATGAAATGAATTAAACATACTGAAAAGTGTATCTTTGGTTCAAATCGACTCAGTGACAGCGAGGCGACAGTCGTAGGAGTGGCTACCTATACCCGACAAGACAATATGGTATATTACTTCAGGTAATACATTAATTAATGATATAATTCAATGTGTAAGATGATATAAAAAATTTTGTAGATTCAATAGACAATATCAAGATATTAAAAAATTGCTAAATTGACAATAAATAAAACTATCATGAAGTAAACAAATATCACAATATCGTGTAGAACAGCAGATAGGGCGTCGACGAGGAGTTTGGCTTGAAGCCCAACAAGTCCACGAACTCCTTTTTGAAGATAGGTCTGATGTTTTCGTTGTTGGACTATCATATACCTATCATCCATGTTTGAAAATATTTCACCTCCATCATAATTCGGCATTCGAAAATCTGCACATTATAAGTACCTGAATAAAGATAATAACTTCCTATCTATATATACCTACGATCTGAAATGCGCTTCATCTGAAGGGGTAGCGAGAGAGAAATATTATAACCCAGGCTATTATAATGTACCTTATGTGAAGTTGATATATAATCTGTATCTAAAATTTTGTTGAATCAATGCTATCGCACTGCACTAATTAGTCTGCTCAGTTTCCCTATTTATCAAAGCGGATTTCTGTTCGTTCACTCATAGCATGGCAATATTTTATATATTGTCAGCAGGAAAGAGACGGATAATTATTCTCTGCGGAAGCCTGAATTTCGAGGATAAATCCCTCTGGAATTTCCAATGCCAATTAATGTAATAGAAATGGTGATGATAATGATAGTAGAAATAATAATACTTATGATAATAGGAACTTGGTCTCAGTCATCACTTACCTAAGGGATTTTGTCCAGCTCGGCTCTGCGTGGCGTCGGAGACCGCAGAGACGTGACTGAAAATGATATAAATTGATGATAATTATGATAATGATAATAATAATAGTAATAATATACAATAAAAATATTGAGAATGATGATGATGAAAATATTCACAGACGCGGACGAGCTCAGCAATCATTTAAAATTATATCTGGGGATTTTCGGGGTTATAAATTATGATTCTGGTGTCAAAATTGGGAAATTCAAGATGGCGGATTTAATATAGCGGACGAGTCTTGTAATTAGGAATTGTAATCAAGGGTTTTCGTCCAAATTGGAAAATTCATCATGACGCATCCAATATGGCGGATGAGTTTTGTAATTATGAATCGATTCTATTGAAAATTGTTATCTGCAGATTTTTGGGACTAGAAATTGAAATTCTTCCGTCGAAATTATAAATCCAAGATTGCTAATCCAATATGATGAACGAGTATCCTAATTATGATCAGATCCTAATCAAAATTTGTTTCTGGGGGTTTTCGGGGCCGGAGATTATTATTCCTCCATCATGATTGAAACATTCAAGATATACATATGTACATATAGCGGATATGATATGTCCAACGTGTAAAAAATAGTGTTTCGAAAAACTGATGGAACACGCTTTAATATATAGCCAAAATAAGAAGAAGTAGAAAATAAATAATAGTTTTGAAAACTATAAAGAGATGAATAACCGATCTAAACTCATAAAAACACGATTTTTTATAGTTGTTCACTTGCGTGAGTTGTGTGATGCGTACATTTTGACGTTTCACCTGAATTTTCAATGTGAATGAAAGTTTCGAACAAGGAAACAATCATGAAATCAAAGATTTTTGTTGTATGTTCGGATTCTTTCGTGTTTTTGAAAGGCAAAAAACATCTGCTGAAGCTCATTTCTGCCCCTGTGAAACAATGTATTATATTGAATTGCCATAATGGCGTGTCTTATCATCGATGGAAATCCGATTATGGCTATCGGTGTCACTTGAATATGAGGGTAGGTTGGTCATAAATGTATTTCTTTTCAATGATGATCGATGACGAAATCGATTATTGCAGAAATTTTAGGATTTTCTCTCCTCGTTTCTATAAAATAAAAATACTAGTATTTTTTCAACGTTTCAACAAATCAGATAATTGATAGTTTGGTCCAAAATGGCACTTTTGGGAACGAATCTTTGCTTCCGTTTCCAACATGACAATGGAGAATATTGGAATATCCAGATATCTGGAAAATCCTTAAATCACTCGTTTCCAAAAATTAGTTCAGCACAATCGAGTATATACATGGTGTTTCATAATTGAATGCTGATCCTTAAGGGCGATAATCCTTGGATGATTTCAAAGAGGAAAGTTCATATCATCATATGTCCTAAACCTCTTAGTTATTGAGCTACAGGGTGATGAAATTTCAAGAAAAAAATGAGTTTTTCATCATAATTTGTTATCACTCTTAGATATTGTTATGATATTTTGTATACACCTTTTCATTATTGAGGAGCATTTTTTTACGTGAAAGATATTCAAAAATTCTCACCAGTGGCGGCCGTACGGGGTTTGAACTGACAATTTTTGAAGAAAACATTAGTACGCTACTGATTTTTCTGAGAACTAGATTCAATTTTCAATTCTTATTCATTTTGGAGCAAATTTGGTTCCTAGACTTACTTTCATACAACGTACCGTTTTCGCGTAAAAAAATAAAAACCAAAGAATTTTGTTCCTTCAGTTCTTGGATATTGTTTTTGGTAATTCAGTAGACACCCACTATAAGTGGAAACACATTTTGTTTTGGGACGAAAATCAAACTTTTACTTTTACCAGTGATGTCCTCGTAGACCTGATATTGAATGTTTAGTTTAAAAAAACGCTGTACGCTTCTGATTTCTACACCCTGTAGCTCAAAAACTAAGAGGTTCAGGACATATGTTGATATGAACTTCTCTCCTCAAAATCATCCAAGGATCATCGCCCTTAGGATCAGCAATCAATTATGAAACACCCTGTATATAGGTTAATGTCAATCTATAATTTCCTATAATAAATGAACTAAGACCCCTCCCCAACAATGCCTTCGAGATTGCATCGCGTTTGGTCTTGTTGGGCCAAACTTCGTCCATACTTTACGGTTATGTCCTGCTTGGCCAAGAAGTTGACGGTCCTTGGCAAGTGAAATTGTTCTCATATAGTTCACCAACTCCGAAAATTCCAAGTATATCTTTGATGATAGTCGTTATTCTAGTTGGCACGAAGGTTTGCTAGTTATGCTAGAAATCTATATACGCGCATATTTTCACGAGCGTCTGGGGAGTGTACTTGCTATGAATCGCTTCTTCGTTCGAATCCGAATACTAGTGTCTAGAGACAGGAGGTAACAAATGATGTAATCAGCGCGACAAGTGCGGATACAGGTGAATTATTTCTTCATACTACCACAGTTACTAAGACTCGTGGCGTAGTTGACTGTGCGTTGGAATCCCTCGTCGGCGACCCTGGTTCAATACCTGCGACGGTCGACTTTTTTTAGATTCGAGATAAGAGGCACAACAAACGTGAAGAACGTGCAACAACAGAGGTAGTCTTCCAGGATTTACAAAGACATCTTTTAATGATTTTGAATGCATTAAGTATTGAGGGAGTGTGTGAGGGAAAACGGACATCAATTTGAACAATTCAATGAATAAGTTACTGATTAATTTTGAAATTCAATTGTCTCAGTAAATATATAATCAGATGCTTATTCTATATTATAAACTTTTTAGTACTTTTATTTATTTGTCGCTATCAGGTACCTAATTTTTGTGTTTTCTTAGTTAATTAGTGTTTGTATTATTTTTGTCGTTTTCATGGAAAAATCTAAAGAAATATTCCTTCAATTGGGACTTTTTTTATATAAAAAATCCATAGCCCACTTAAAATTCAATGTTTTAGTGATTTTGGAGCATTTTCGAAAATTTTATATTTATACATTATATTTCTTTTGGGGAAAAAATTCAGAATTGAATGAGCTCACAAAATACAGGGTGTTTCATTTGAAGAATCATAAGTTTGAGTCGTCACTCCAAAACTATACGCCGAAAAAAAAATTTGAATGCGCCACTGGATTCTGCGTAAAATTCTCTATGGAAAGATATTTTAGTTTAAAATTTTCGCTGACAAACTTCGTAGATATAGAGGAGGTCCAAGGAGTATAAATTTTAAAAATCGCCCTGTATCCCATAAGAAGAAACAGTTATGCACAATCTGATTAGGTCATCTTGAGTTTCACAAAAAAGTGGCACAGGACCGCGAAACCGCAAGGTTCTATCTCGAAAGATAACTGAGATATCACGCAAAAGCATCGAAAACTGGACACACTGTACTGAGGGGAGTTTAGTTGTATTTATTTTTCTCGTCTTATTAATCTTCCTATGCGTGGAAATGATGAGCAATTTGAAAATGTTTCATTGAATATCTGTTGTGTCGAAACCTTAAGAGAAATCGAATTTGATCAAGAGTATCTTTTTTGCAGTAAGCTTATTTAATCATGAAGTAAAAATAATTTGAAAATTGGAACTTCAGTGCCATCTTGCGTCCAAACTAAGCAACTTTGTACCTAGGCAAATTTGATTGTTTCGAATTGTTTTTGTCTAAAGAATATGTGGTAGGTTTTTGTAAAGACCTTTCATTGATACCCTGTATAGTTACTTACCATGCCTTGGTAATTAAGTATTAGAATTTCATACAATTTATCTTTCGTCGATTCAATTCGCTATTGTTATTAGTTAAGTTGTTTATCTATGCTATTTCATAGTTCGTGAAATTCTAAAAAAATATATATTTCTCCAAATACATCTACAAAGATATCATGAACATCTTTTGAATTTATCTGATATCTCCCTAAACGAAATAACAAATCATTTTTACAATTATATCAATTATCTCTAAGAAAATTCTCATAATTTTTGTGATATGTGCTTCCGAAATTGGAATTTTGAATGGAATTGGGTATTTTCTGAGAATGATTCTCACATTAATTGTTTCTCTATGTGTGACTTGCAACATATTCAAGTATCATTTAACGCTAACAACAGTTCAAATGTCATTGATATTCCTGGTGCTTCGGACCTCGCTAAACGCAAACGCTCGGGTTCGGCCTCTAATCAACAAACTCCACAATCGAATAATTTTTCAACCAAAAAGTACTTTCATTTGGTTTTGTTCTTTGTCTTCTCCAATTTCGGAAACACATTGCATTCATAAAATAGTTCAAATGAAAATCATATGGTATGGAACTCTCCCGAACATTCTCTTGATGATAGTGCCTGCTACTGTTGAGATAGTTTTGGTAACCGCTGGTTTGAATTCCGTATAAAGAGTTTTCCATTCTTCATTGAGGATCCTATTAATATTCCTTCCTGAAAACATTGATTAAAGTTAGCATAGGATGCCAATTGGATCCACAGGGTGGTCCAGCAACAACATAACAACATTTTTTTACACGACATTCGAGTGGAAGATAATGTAATAATACAAAGGTATTTAAGTACCTATAGATATCATCGCCCTATATAAATGAACTAGTAGAGTCCCACCACGATAACTTTGGGACAGCACGTGGTCGCGTATGTCCCAAAGTTAACGTGGTCCGACTCTAGTATAATATAGAGGAGCCACTGTTGAATAGTATATTTATTGCTGAATAACAGTCCAAGTCATCTGAATGACATTTTGATGTAAATAACTCATCAATCAATAGGGATTCATGTTCAGGACAAACATTTAATTATGTCCATCATGAATGAATTCCTACAATGGAAGTAAATGAATACATAAAAAACACATGGAATGATAATGGATTTGTATTCATGTACTCATTCGCTCTCATTATGGGGACATAATTTTTTTATGTAGAGCTGATGATGGATATATATATGTACGAAACATGTGTCCTTGTTGATTGATGTGCTGCTTATTTCACACCTCTGTGTTGCTACTACACACCACTTAGAGAAACCTGAACTTTTATCAAAGATGAATAATAGATCTCAATCAATAGGTTTACCTTTTTAGCACTACATAAGATATTGTGAATTTCTAACTATAAGACTGTGATAATTTTGTATCTCAATCTGGTGTTCGAACCCCAACAAATTCGACAAAAAAATAAATACTGAACATGTTGATATTTGATTTACCTAGTTCCTCATTTCCATTGAAGAGATTGTCAAACTGAAAGTGGAATTCATTAGTTTCGATGTCGATATTGTTATCATTCAAATCCATGTAAGTCTCGCTATTTTTCTCTATGAGGTCATACGTCAAGTTGAATCTAATATCAACATTACCTGAAAGGAAGCGAATTTATAATATCCATCCTAGTATATCTAGTATACCTACTTCTAACCGAGCACGAAATGATAGTAACTTCCCACTACAATGAATTTTGCTGTATATCATACGAGTGGGGGTATTAGCATTCCGTGCGAGTTATACAATTTTTGCAATTTTCAGGAATTTTTGCGATTTTTGCAAATCTCAGGAATTTTTTGAAAATTTTACAATTTTCCGGAATTTTTGCAATAGGAATTTTTGCGATTTTTGCTATTTTCAGGAATTTTTGAAGCAGAAATGCTTCAGAAAATATGCAATATACTGGGCATTCCAATTAAAAAAAGTTATTGAGATGTTACCAGATCTAGTAACCTTACATAAGATATGTTACCAGATCTAGTAACCCAACCTAAGATATGTTACCAGATCTAGTAACCTAACCTAAGATATGTTACTAGATCTAGTAACCTAACCCAAGATATGTTACCAGATCTAGTAACCTAACCTAGGATATGTTACCAGATCTGGTAACCCAACCTAAGATATGTTACCAGATCTAGTAACCTAACCTAAGATATGTTACCAGATCTAGTAACCTAACCAAAGATATGTTACCAGATCTAGTAACCTAACCTAAGATATGTTACCAGATCTAGTAACCTAACCTAAGATATGTTACTAGATCTAGTAACCTAACCAAAGATATGTTACCAGATCTAGTAACCTAACCTAAGATATGTTACCAGATCTAGTAACCTAACCTAAGATATGTTTCTAGATCTAGTAACCTAACCTAAGATATGTTACCAGATCTAGTAACCTAACCTAAGACATGTTACCAGATCTAGTAACCTAAGTATTGTAGTTGGGCGGGATGGTCTTGCGAGGAGTATTCTCAACAGATTGGCCTTGAAGGAATATGGACGACCTCGATGTGTGGGGATTACGTCAATCATGTTGTTAGCTACTCAGAGAGATAGAGTGAGAGAGTGGTAACCTTGAGTTTTGCGGAAATTTTTGCAATTTTCAGAAATTTTCTCAATTTTTAGAATTTTTTGCGATTTTTGCTATTTCTGCAATCTTCAAAAGAATATCTAATATCTTCTCAATATTTATCTCTTCTCTGCCCTGTCACAGAAAAACTAGTGTTATAGACTGAAAATATTAGATTTTAGCTGACACAACCTCGAATATATGATTACAGGATTCATCGCCACCTGAAATTTTTTGCAAAAAAGAGGTTAATGAATCAACAAAAGTTATTTGATTAACTAGGCAGAAAAAGATGAGATTCAATGCCGCGGCTACTTTTTCATAGCCGCGGCGTAACCGAGGCTAAGAATCCATCCAATGAATATACACCCGTATCGTTGGAAATAGTAAGGGGGACTCACCAGCTGTCATATTGCATTCTCCATTTCCATTCAGAGGAAATGATAGGATATTTCCGATCAGATCGTAATGTCCTAAAATATCTATGTTTCCAGCTTTGAAATCGAAGTGGAATGCTTTGTTAGGCAAATCAATCCTGAAAACACACAGTATCCAGATTATTTTATTCTGATCAAACTCAGATGTTGTGAATATCACAGAAATAGGTGAAATATCATGAATTCTTTCATTGCTTATCATATCTATTTGTATGATCACATACAGCACCTGATGGATACATAATACTGTACCATCATACTGTTCAATATTAAAACATTTTAGAAGGCTTCCTTCGGGATAGATTTTTGTTTTTTCACCTATTGACTTGATGAAAATCCATATATAGTGAATGATGTAGGTATAGAAACTTCACAAACGATAAGATTTCTATACAATGAATAATGTTGTTCTGCTAACACATCAGTATATCTTCTTCAAGTAATCTCGTACCTTGATTTGCCTCTCTCATATAATATGTACAATATATGTATGTTTGTATTCATATATGTATGTACATACATATATAACCAGGAACCCAACGGATTAGAATTATCTACGTGGCTATACATATAGCGTTAAACCTTCATTCCGAAAAGTAAGCACGAATTAACTGGAAATGAGTGATGTAAATCTAATTTACTAAAAACGCAAATTCAGAATTTTCTTCATGTAGCATTTCGAAGTTTTCATCAAACTATGATTTTCTTTTTAGATATGGCCTATGTTGGATTCGTTTTCTTATTTAAAAAACTAATATGATGTTCGTGAATGCGGTGGTTATACGTTCTACCTGTCTGACCAATATCCACCTTGAGACAAATTTCGAGAACATGTATTTTCGAGTATGATTTCGTGAATCAACCCAAAGATTAGCGATTCCACAATTATTCTAAAGAAATCTCATTAGGTTTTCAGTTGTGTTTTTCCTCTCACCTGACTTTTTCTAAATTAACAGAGTCCAAACCAAACATTTTGACGTTGCTCAAACTCAGTTTCATGTTTCCCCCCGATTCTAGATTGATCATATCCAGTTCTAGAGGTTTCAATTTGGGGATGCCGTATTTTCGGTCCCCAGCATCCAGCAGATGGGGTATGGCCAGTTTGGCGTGTTTCATTGCGCAGGCGTTTAGGTTGGGGTCATCTTTATGACAAGGTATGATGTAGGATTCTGAAATAGTTTATTTCATAATAATTATTGATTTGATTCTGGTGCCATCGGAATTTTTTGCAATTATTCTGCGGTGTTGCCAAGCTAATTAGAATGATTTCGAATTATTTTTGAAAACGAATAATACCTACAGATGTTGCTTCCAGTATGCTCTTGCTGATGATGCGTCGATATTATAATGTACACAATAAATTGTTTATATTAAATATCTCATTGTGGGATATTTTGCGATCAATCGTAATTATTTCTCATACAAGATATATAATTACTAAATCTCTGGTAGTAGTCCATGCTCAAATTGGAAGTGATGAGATAATTAAGAGAACAAACTCAAAGCCTCGCTCCAAGTAAATTTTAATAAAATAATACGTGCTACATGTTCCGACTCCAAGGAGTCATCATCAGGCAAAATTCAAAAAACTTATAAATAAAAGAAGTTCCATCACTATTGGAAAATGGGTGCGACATACCTTGCTAGGTAGGAGGAGAAAAGAAACTATTAAATTGATAACATGGTTCACACGGGTTTTAGGCCCCAAATAATTTAAAAAAACAGATTTTGGAATTTTGGTTTTTTGAACGCCCAGATAAACATTTTTCTTAAGATGTTTCTTTTTTGTATCAAAAAACTATTATAGTGTAAAGCAAATGGCGCGAGTATGAAGTAAACAAACCGTCAGACTACTTGATTCGAAAGATAAAAATGTTAGATAAAAATTATTTTTTGACAAACAAGTGACAAGTGACGAATGTCATCTATCAAATACACAAAACATTGAAGCTGGCTCAATGGACCATAACATCAAAGTTCATAACAAACAAGAAAATGACAACATTAAACAAAAGGATTGCCAATGCAACCGATGAATGGAGAGGAAGATTACAAAATGGAATTGAAACTTTTTGCCTGCTTCCATGGTTGGAAAATGATTTTTCGAGAATCAAGAAAATACTTGCTAGAATATCTAACAGAGAACAACTACTCTCCTGACTAATACCACAGAATATTGAATTATATGAGGTTCCAAAAACAGTTATGGGAACAAGGAAAAATCGTGAAAATGACATAAAATATACCAAACGACTCAAGATACTATACTCAAAACAATAGCCTCCAGCAGTTCAAGTAAGTAATGATAACTTAATTTCAGAATAATATACATGCATAACTACGATAACTCTCGAAAATAGCACTGACAGCTTCGTATCAACGTATATCGAACAATCAGTATAAATTATTTAACAATATAACTTCAATGAATGAATGAAATATGACAAAACTCTGGGACTAAATGATGAATCGTATTATTTTTATTGACTCGGCCGTTACTAGATGGAAATCCATGATGGCAAATGTAAAAACTTTATGGAAGATAAAATTTCCACGAAATTCTCAAACACACCACATGTTTCTCTAACACAGTACCTAGCTTCGTCAGGTGATATACTGGTAAAAATGAACCAAACTAACCTTGGCTTGCTCAACTTTTATATATCTTACCTTCCCAACCTGAAGGATTAGTTATCTGATGTGGACAGGTATGATAAACCTTAATTTTCGGAAATTAGGCACAATATCTACATTAAAATACGGTGCACCGGATTAACTTGAAAGGGTTGGTAGCAAATAAATATTATCATCTACTATGAAAACAAATTCAACAGTGGTGAACTATTATGGTCTAATTGGTCGTTAAAAGAAAAGTAATAGTTTTTGAGTTTGTAGTTTGTTGATTTCTATAATTGAGGCAACGTCTGTAATTAAAATTTTTCGAAGTAAATTTAGCAACGCCGCAAAAGAATTAAAAAGATGAGAAATGGTTGTGTAAATAAAAAAGATAACGAAACATTGAAACATGTGAAGAAATGCAAGGTGTTCTAATCATAAATTTATAATTTATGATATCCTGCGTTCAAACAGCATCTTATAGAAAGCAAAATCATTTTAATTTGGAGACCAAACGATTATTACTCTATCACAGAAATGATTTTGTCTATCTCTTATTGCCCCTACCTAAGTTTCTGATGATTTTTAGCAGACCTATTGACCTATATATCATTTTGTTTCAGATCTGCGGTATCATTGAGTGAGTTGAGCAAACAGATAATCTAGACATTGAAAACAGTTTGTTGTCGAAACATCGAAGAATACAAAAACTAAATAGGTACTTTTAAAATCCTAAAATTTTTTGACATCATGAACAACATCAGATAAAGAGATTTCCTGTTGATTTTGGTCAAGCAGAGTGAAAACCGAGGAAACAAAAATCTATCATCTTCTTAATCATCAGAACTGGAAAAAAAACTCGGGCTATTGTTCGAATGAAAATGCAACAATCCAAATGAAATGCTAAGACAAATATAAAAGAATGACTAATATTGAATAATAAAAATGGAGTTTACACTGATCTGTTGCCCCAAATTTTCGAATATGCTTATTCACATTGCCAGAAATGAGCAGTGAAAATCTCTCAGAACTCAGCAATACACCATCCATTCCTCTCTTATAAAATAATAATCAATAGTCAACTGCACTTACGAGAAAATATTTTAGCTTCACTCAAACTATAACAGCTCACGAAAACTATCAAAAACAAACACGGCATATTCCTATTCAATCAACTAAACCCTACTATGAACAAAATTGTCTATTAAATGAAATATCTGAAATATTGTTAAGTTTTATAACCAATTTTATATTAGTGCCGAACAAGGTGATTATGTCAATTTGACTAGTTTTTACAGGTAGAGAACTATAATTACTGAAGTAGGATGTTGTGTATTCTAAAAGTATACGACCAGCCGTAAAAATATTTCCTCGTCTTCTCAACGATAAACGTAACCCGCAGTGAAATACGAAAATCCAAACTCGAAATAACACGAAAATATGTTAGAAAAAAGGGTGTACAGATAAGCTTCTACGGTATACCTACAAAAATAAACTGATTTCTTTCAATTTCAACAATATGGTTGCCGGAAATATGATCCAAATCCTCAGATCAGAAATCATTTCATCGAAAAATCAAATTATCGAAAAATCAAATGATCCAAAAATTGATCCAACTACATTCTGATCAAATATAATCGTTTACAGATAATATTCATCGATTTGTCCTAAATCTTTCGTATGGATTCCCGGAATTCTTTGATATATATGAAGTATATATACTATTGTGAGAAGCTGTGAAAAATATAACATCAAGTATAACTATAGTGATCAGCCTAATATGTCAGAATGTATGTCACATTCAGTAACAAAGACAAGCCATCGCACATATATGCAATTTTTGTAAAATGTCGTTAATAAATAGTCAATGTAGAAATGAAAAATTGATTTGAGACGGATATTATTATGTGAGAGAATTCCAGCACCATTACACGACATATTGCGAACAGTGTACCTCTACATTTGGTACACCGCTTGCCTAATAGTTCATGTATTACCTGTAATTACCTACCCTCATTCAGGCCGAGTCAGGTTAAGTTGTTTAGAAACAGTAGTCCCTTTTGTTCTCCCAAGTAATTCTCCGAAACATAATATACTTTCTAGGAAGAAGGTTCATTTAGGCCGAGTTGGATTAGATTGTTCAGGAAAAGCAGTCTCCTTCTTTATGCTTATGCAGAAAGGATATTCTCCTTTCCTAACGTTCTGGAAAAAGTGTTACGGCTGAAATCGAAGTTACTCGTTCACCTACAATACGTGAAATGACATTAACGATTTGTTGAAAGCAACTTCATGGACGATAGTACCCTCCATATCGCCTTCTCTTCCAGGGCTCCAATACGAGCCAGGCAAATCAGAAACGAACGGGGGAGAAATGTTGACAACATAAATATGGACTTAACAACAATTCTCGAATGGGGTTCCAATAACTTGGTCGATTTCAATGCAAACAAAACACAAGCATGCCTTTCTTCTACAAAAGCCGATCTCACTGTGCCCAACATAAGCTTGCCAGGAGGAACCATACCTTTGAAGACATTCATTTCGATGCTTGGTATTACTATCAGCAATAACCTTTCTTAGGAAAATCACATGAGATCAATTGCTGAAAGTGCATCCCAAAAACTTGGTTTTCTGTTTCGGGCCAGGAGCTATTTCACTTCCAGTCAGCTGCTTATGATCTATAAGGCACAAATCCGACCTGTCCTGGAATACTCTTACCATATTTGGAGTGCAGCACCCAAACATACCCTGATTCTGTCCAAAAAGAGGCAATTCGTCTCGTGGGTGATGCCTTGCTCACAAACTCACTCACTTCTTTGGAACACTATAGAAAAATTGGCGATCTGGCTCTATTTTATAGATATTTTTATGGACGATGCTCTTCTCAAATATCAACAATTGTTCCTCCCTCGGCAGTCCCCGCGAGATTAACCCGTCGAGTCGAGGCTTCGCACCTCATCGTGGTCACTTTGGAGACCTGCAGAACATCTCTCTCCAAAGACTCCTTCATCCAACGAACAGCGAGGATCTGGATCACATTGCCAAGAGATGTGTTCTCCGAGGCATATAACCTCCAGAAATTTAAGAAGAACAGCAATTCCTACCTTATTTCCCTTGGTTCTCGCGATGTTCTCTGAACATGACAGGATATCCCTTTTCGTGGGAACCAGAACATAAAAAAAAAATCCCATCCCAGAAAGTGGGCCTATGAAGAAGTAATCACTTTGAAACAAAAATGGCGCCTGATAGAAAAGGTAGGTTAGTTTGTTTGCAATGGAATAAGCCTTATCTATGACGATGAAAGATACAAAAAGTCGGTCTTGTAGTTTGTGTATACACATTCTGCCATCGTTCTATAACTCGAATATATTGAGCTGATGATAATTTTTATGGCAAATAAACAAAAACATGCTAAAATCAATCGATAGTTTCATCGTCATTAACAATATACATTAATGCCAATTCATTATTTTTTGTCTAACACCATAACACTGAATTGTTTTTTTAACTGTATATATAAAACTATTAGGACCGAATATCCACCACGAATAGCGAAATGGCAATAGAATATCTATCATAAAATCGATAATAACGTAATATGAACCTATGAAGAATGATAATTTTGTGCCATAAAATAAATAAGTTTAGATGAATGTTTTGATAATTACTGAGCTATGCGATTGAAAACAAGAAAATTTCACTTCCTCAAGGAATGTTTTCACATCACAAGGTTTTGACGAAAACAAATTTAATGGTGTCATAATATAAAGACTTCATCTCCAGAAATAAACTGTTCAATAAAATAGACGTCGTGGTCCACATTACAGGGTGATTCATTGGATAATGCGTAAACATCATTAAGGGTTCTTTATAAACAAGATACAGGGGTATTTTTTAATATTCCCCTTTTCTTATATTGATCATAACTTATGAATCACCCCATACATTTCTGTGATATTTGGTTTAAAAATCCCATTCTAGGTTCGGTTTGAAAAAAATGAATATTTTGGAATTTCATTCACTAATTTGGGGAGCAGAAAAAAAAGTGAGACTGAATTTATTTGATGTTCCGCATACAAGTGTTTTACCTATTTTGATTCAAATCTAATGTTTTGATAACGGGGTAGCACAAAATTAAGAAAAAAATTATCATCCCCAAATGGTACTTCTCCATTTTCAATTCATGAAATCATATACTATTATTTATTTTCCTCATTTTTGTATCTCTATCCAATTGAAAAAGGAGAGGACATGTCGGTATTTGGGACATATTATTATATCTTCAATGATCAAATTTAAACACCCTGTATGTGTAAGAAAATTATCAATACATTTGTTTATTGCACTACATTATTTGAAACAATAATTATGAAAATGAGGAACAATGCCCATTCCGAAAAAAATCTCAACTTCGATATAAACAAAAATAACGTTAAATACTGTATGTAGGTTAATCGAGCTTGCATTCTTCTGTTGTTCAGTTGATATGGACAGAAAGAACATGGTATTCACTACTGAAATCTGAACATGAAAATGGTGAATTCAAGATTAATCAATGAAAACATCCTGTAACTCATTTGATTGCCATCGTCACCAATTGTCAATGAAAACTGAAAAGCTTCAAGACTTAGGTATTGGAATAATAATTTTTTATGTTGAAAACGGGAGCAGAATCGATCCCGAAACGTCCAAAGATAAGTGAAAATTTGATATTTTTTCTATATACCTTTATTTCTCTTCTCCAAACTTTTTTCAATACAAATTGTCACTGACAAACTAGTGAATTTTTCTTTTAGGCTCTCTGATAGGAAAATTCTTTGAACGCAGTGACATTTTGGGGCAAATCATCTGATTTGTACTTACTACACGTATATTGAAGTAATATTCATATTATCAGTTTATAGAAACGAGGAGAGAAAATCCCAAAAAATTTGGGATAATAAAAATAACGTTACCAGACATCTACATTTCAAAGGTTAAACATAACAGAAGATCAAAAATCTAAAATATTCTATCAGTGTCTAATTATCTTCTTTAGTTAGAGCATGATCATTTCTTGACTCTTCTGATGCATTCTGGGAAATAATAATAAAATGAAGACGACTGTACGTACACTTTAGTTTTGATATCCCAAATTGTTGTATAATTGTTAAGTTGGTTGATGTCATAGTACAACTCTGATATTGGTTGATTACTTTAGAGTTTGTACTCGTGTTTAAGTCATTCGTTGATAACAGTTATTGTTTGCTCACACAAAATGCCACACATATTCGACAATAAGGAGAAAGCAGACATTTAGTACTAAGCAAAATGGTGGCCACTTTAAACAACAGTAATAAGTTATGTTGTGTAAATTTTGTTGTACATGATTCTTTTCGTTTAACTCAATACAAATTGTTGCAACGACATTGGGGATGAAATTAAAAATGTTCTCTTCCGGAATGGGCATGGTTCCTTATTTTCATGAATGTTGTTTCAAATGTAGTGCACAAAACAAATGTTATGATAAGATTCTTACACATACAGGGTGTTGAAGTTAGTCATTGATCATAGTATAAATTAAAAGAATAGTAATAGTTGATGATTATATATGGATTGAGAATGGGAAAGTACCATAAGGGGACGACAATATAGTTTTTTTAATGAATCACTCTGTATAATTATCTTCCCATCAGTACCACATTTCATCATTTCTTGATGAGCAGTCTCCGAAAGAACTTGACCCACAGAAGTTCAGAAGTAATTAGAAACTGACTGCACTGAGATGAATGGTTTTCAGGTTAAAATTGTTGTATTGGCTCTTATTTCAGTTCAAAATCGTCCTTCAATTTCTACTGAAAGGAGAGTCAACACTATAATACTAACCTGAAAACAATGCATCTCACTGCAGGCATCATGTTCTACTTACATCCCGGCTCAATGAATCTCTGCTATCTCAGAAACCATCGCGATTTCAGAAATCGCTGCTCCAGTCAGCTAATCCTTTCATGCTCAACCTTGAGATATGTCGAACAACTTTTTATCAAAACTCGTTGGCCTATAGAACAGCAAAGTTCTGGGAATCTTTGCCAAAGGAAGTATTGCCAAGAACTTGTAATCTCCGAAAGTTAAAAAAATATTCCAATACCCACCTCACTTCCTGACCTCCTATTTTCCAAATATAGGGTTCCTTTTCCGTGCGCCTCTGATCGATAAAAAAATTAGGAATGTCGAAGACGTGAACATTTCCGATGATTGCATAATACCGCAAA